TGTTTAACAAACAGAACAGTGAAAATGAACACACTACAATGCGTTTGTGACAAAATGTCACCAATTTTATAATGAAATTCTCCATTTGGCTGCAATGATAACAAGAGACCCTCTATATAAGATCTTCAATGTTAAATGATGAGTGATGATGATCTATGGTGCTCTCAAAACATGCTAGCAGTTTTCATGCAAGTTGTGAAACACTAAAATGTGACACTGAACTTTTAAAGTCTGTATCAATCAGACTTTGCAAAAAAAAAAAAAAGTTATTAAATAAACATGGATGGTCAATGTCATGTTGCAATCTAGTCATGGAACAATAGCCGTTTTCAAGGTATACTGCAGTTTGAAAAAGTCAAAGTTTTAAAACCGCCAACTTTGCTATGGTATATGTAAGATATTTTATTTACCTTTAGTTTTTACCAACAGTATCTCCAGCAGAAAAGTCATTTTAAATTGTGAAGAAATCAGTGTTGAAAATAATGAAGATGGCAGAAGTCAATGATTCCTTTGAATTATTTAGCCTGACATAGAGCTGCACGATTAATCGAAAAAAGATTGTGATCTTGATTTGACCCCCTATCTGATCTTAAAACAGCATTTCTACGATTCTGCCAATCATATTTTCAAGTTCAGGGGAAGAGCAAAGGTGGCTGCACGAGTCTTTTCCCATTTTTCACATACGTTGCTCAGCGACATGGACACCTCCAAACGATGTTGAAAGAGTCACATGCTGTATTTATAAAGTATAAATCACCCAAAAATGTCATTTTTGTCTTTAAATAATTATGCATTCGCGGCCGTGAAAATCACACATAACTTGAGCGGCTGACAGTGAGCTGTTACCACAGAGAGGGCCCTACTTAATGTAGACGCACACACACGCGTGAACAGAACCTGCATAGGCTGTAAGTAACAGGTAATAAACTTGTAAATAATATTCAGTTTGTGACACAGAGTAATCTTTTGAGAGCAGAGCGTGAAGTATGAACTGCACTTAGCAGTGAAAAAGAAACCAAAAGCGTGCACATCATTTAAATTTATAACATTTTAAGAGGTATTATGATAAGCATTTGATATGTTTTTCTTTCATAGCGAACACAGAGTTGTGCATGAAAATAAATGTTTACAGTGTCAGTATTCCTACTCTAGCCTATATAATGTGGAATATAATGTAAGAGGGAATATAATAATGACAAATGTCACCAGTGAATAAAATGGTCTGATAATGTTGTCAATGACAGATTGCAAGCATATGTCTTAAACATAATAATTCACCATCAGAATTATTATAAGTAGAATAGAATTGTTTATAGAAACCAGTAGACCTACACATAATAATCTCATTGTTTTTGAGAAAAAACAATAATAATTGCAGACTCATATTAACCTTTATTTTACAGATACAGAATCGTGAGAAAATCGTGATCTTTATTTTGAGCAAAAAGAAAAATTTGCAATTCTCATTTTAGCCAAAATCTTGCAGCTTTAGCCTGACATGTTTACTGCTCCGAAATATTTTAAATGTTTCTCAAAATAAAATATACTGTGTTCAAAAAGAAAAAAGTTGTAGTTTTTTATCCAGACATTTTTAAATATATTTAGAGCAGGAAACCCAATATACCGAGAAACCTTTATATTTGTATCCAAGGTTATCATACCGTTAGAGTCTTATACTGGCCCATGCCTAAATCGTACACACAACTGTGATGTCACAAAACTGCCTATCAGCATTACAACCAATAAAACCTGGTTTATACTTCTGTGTCAAGTGACCGGCATAACCCACAGCTCATACAACGCTCATTGCTGTGCATTGATACTTCTGTGCGCGGTCTCTGTCGGTCTGCTTTAACATTTCCGAAACGCTAGTTGGCATTGAGGTGTTAATGTTCGTCTGTGTCGAGTTTCTTTGCTGGTGTTTTGTTTTTTCTGAACGCTTCTTGAATGTTCAAGTGGCTCAAACTCGCTCATTTTGAGGCAGGAACCGGCGGACGTGCAACAACTTTAACTATGAGGTAAACACAAAACAAAACTTTCCTTCCGGAGCTCCTTCACGGGACTCCACATTTGTAAACATATCGCTCCATCAGGCTTGCGCCGCTCGCACGGCTCTTGGTGCCACCCAGACTCGTCAGCGCTACCAAGCCGACCAATCCCAGAGCTAGCACTACGGTCGGTGCGACGTGTAGTTACATTTTTTGAGATGTGCACGTCAGCGTCGCCCACGGCATAGGGTTATGCGTCAACACGTAGGCTGTGCCGTAGCATACGTGTGCGCTTGACGCATAAGTATAAATCAGCCTTAACTACAGACTATTCTGCCACCTGCCTGATATGTTAGATTTGCCCCAATGTAATATTGCAATCTGACTTTTTAAACTTTTCTTGTTAATCCTTGTAAAGCAGCTGTGACACAAGCTACATACTAAAAAGCATAATAGAAATAAAGGTGACTTGACTTACAGCAGCAGAATTTGTTACTTAGTCTTTTTTTATATTTAAATAAATCATTTATAAGTTTTGACTGCAGTAAAAGTCTTAAAATCAAGCAATTTGCAAAAAATGAAAAGGTAATTTGATGATGCTTCATGATACAGTGTTTCCTTTTAAAGTCATTCTCAAAGAGTTCACAGTTGCAATGCCAGTCTGTTCCTTACACGAACCTAGCAATTCACCTTAGAAGACCCCAAACATAAATCTTTCATTAAGATTTAGAGTGTTTTATTTGTTCTTTTCACGTACCTTTTCAAATACACCACATGCTCTTGCAGATTTGAAACAGCATAAAGGTGTATAAATGATGGCAGAATTTGAATTTCTGTGCTATGGGTTAACTTGCCCTTTTAAATGTGCTGTATTTAAACATAACAAGGCACAATTAGAGCAACAAATTTGTGCACGTGGCCTGCATGTCATCTGTGATGACTTGTGCGTTTCATCAGGCACAGAGTAGAGCACACTGGTGCAGCATGTCACTTCCTTATAGAAATCATTCATTCATTCCTCAATGTCATTTCACAACACATGCCAAGCAAAATCTCTCTAGCTACAATGTGGGTCACATACAGGCCCTCAATCATGCTTGAAACTCATCTAATGTAGAACAGGGGCTTTCAACTCACTTGTGGGTGTGGGTGGAGGAAAAGAAAAGTGTACAATTTCCAGAAAGAGCTAACTGACTTCCTCGTGTCTGTGGCTAGTCAAATGAAAAGAGCTGCTATTATTACATCATGTTGTGCTGAAGTGATCTGTGAACCCTGACCGCCAAACAAATTTATGGGAGACATTCTTCGCATTTGCTTTTGTAGCGCACATATTCTATGGAAAGCTGCAAGACCTGACATAATTTCAAGGAGGGTGAACATTAGGTCATGCTGAAAAATCAAGCAGCTCCCTCACACTCTGTAATCCTTTTTCGTGGATTAATGATAACAGCTTCACATAATGACTGTCTGCAATGACAGGTACAGGGATGAAACAATCTAAAACAAGCTTTTTGCATAAACAGGTTGATCGACCTTAAAACCCCCCACCGCATACCTAAACACAATAGAAACTAATGGAGCACAACACATTGTCCAAAAATAAATACTTTTCAAATAAACATTTTACAAATATCTCCACACATTTGTTGCAGAACTGGGTATTAGCTATTACTATTAACACTTGTTGGGTAAATAAAGTAAAAAGATGTCTCTTTAATCCAGTAAAGTATAATAGCCAGAACAAAAGCTAAGTTTAACACTTGTAACTAAGAAGCAGGATTAGAAACACCTTTTTACCAGGGGCTATGAAACCATATACCCTGGAGCAGGGTGAAAGAGGTAGTTCACCCTAAAATGAACATTTCCTCACAGTGTAGAACACTTAAGCTTCTAAATGTTTGTGTTTGAAATTTACTTCTACCATTGAACACAAAACAAGATATTATAAAGAATACAGCCATTGACATTCATAGTATGAACAAAAGATACTATAGAAGTCAACAGCTGCTGTTCTGCTGTTCCCAACATTCTTCAGAATATCTTCATTGGTGTTTAACATAAGAAATAAACTCATAGAGGATAATAAAATGATTGCAGAGTTTTCAATTTATTTAGGTGAACTAATACTATCGTTGTGTTGTTAACCCTCCGTTAGAGTAAAACCCAAGTGCATGTTACTATGCTACAGCCAGATGCTCAGCAACTGAAAGCCAACAGGGTGCCTCATTTTTACATCCTTTGAACAATAATGAAAGCACAGTGTCATTTAACATTTGAAGGGAAGTTTCCCAATGACACTGAAACAACAAATAAAAACATTAACCCTGAGTTTATAAATTTACAGTGCGAAACTGTGTACACACGGGATTAATTGTTAACCTTGGGTATATTATGAGCAGTGTGAAATGTGAAGAAAGATGTCCAGGAATCGGACTACATGTGGTTTAGAATGACCCAGGGTTAAATATTCAAATCAACCATTTCAAATTAAATATTCAAATTAACTATTTGAAGTGTGAAAAAAAATTTAATGCTTAGTTATAAGCAAGGCTTTGTCGTTTTAATTGTAAAAGGCAGAACATAACACAAAATTAAAATTTGATTAAGAGATATGCATTAATGCATAACCGTGTACAACAGAAAATTGACCAGAATAACAACTTCCTAAAAGCCTCCTAATCTTGAGTGTGATGTACATAATTTCTTTAAACTTCTCAACATTCACATCCATTTACAATTCAGGTGCTTCAAGCCACTTTGAATTGCATGCCAGTTTATAGGTTCAGTCCCTTTGCAGCAGCCTGACGTTAGTGATCAAGGACATAGAGAGGGGGGAAGCACCTTGGGAGATGTAAGCCAAGCAGCGAAATTTGAAACATTAAACCACATAGCACACTTGCTATAGTTCATTTACAACCCAAAAGTCTGCCTAGGGGTCATGAATTGAATCAAAACATTTGGTCTTGTCCAGCCACGCTGTCGTTAGATATCTATTTGTTTTAATCAGCTTACCAGATTGAAGATCGTCTCCACGGTGTCCCGATTGGAGACTTCACCAGCCTCCAGGAGTCCGGCCAGCACGGCGAATTTCATGCGGATTCCTCTAATGGGGATCTGGACGGCGCTGTCACCCGCGCTCGCCATGGCGGAGTCAGGTGAGAGGGGAACAGGTGGGACACCTGTTTGACCCTGCCGCCTAGTTAAACCTATGGGATACTATATGGAAAATGTGGCTCGTTAAACTAACAGCGGGGGAAAACAAATCCCGGTCCCCATTAACGGCCGGTTTGTCCTGTAGTTTCTTGCGTTTTCGCCTGAAGTTGTTGGCTGATGTCACTAACGTTACACCTAAAAGACAGGAATTATTCTTGTGTAGAGAGGGAGAACAGATCTAAACTTGAAAAAAAGCAGGACGAAACCACGCTGACACGAGTCCAGATAAGAATCCAAATGCTTGTCAATCTCCGCTGACCTAATAAAGAAAAGCCGTTAAACGGTAACGTCATTGAAGTTTTTGCGAGTGTTTGTCAAACAGGAAATAGCGGTGCTGAAGAGATTCCGCGCAGGTAGACGACCGATAAGAACAAGACGCAGAAAACTATAAAATATAAGGCAACGGATCTCCGGCATCGGCCCTCGAGTCCCTGCAAAGAGAAGGCAATCCTCTTGGTCCCTGTGAGAAGTGTTGACGTGAAGTTTGAGCGGTAACCCACTTTACAGCGCCATCTCTTCCTGAATCAGCTCCTACTCCGCTCGGTCTCCGCCATGACAGTGGAGCTGCGTGAGAGAGATCCGCGCATGCGCAGTGTGCTGCGAGAGCAGCGAAGGGAGGGCTCAGGTGTGTCAGGTACAGACTACACTTAAAAACCTGTAGGGACAGAATGACACTTCATACTGAAGATCTCGTTTCAAGCGCGCGCTGTTATGGTGCTGTTTTAATGCACACTGTAAGGATCACAGAGACATCTGCAGGACAGAATAGTAAGTCCAGCTGCAGCATATTCACCATAAAGGGTGACGTGCATCAAAATTGATCGACTGCTACGGAAAAATTATTCATCTAATAATATTGTATACTGTGAATAAAAAGCAAACAGAAAACACAAGCAATTCATATATTTGTACTTCACTGATCAGGTCAAACAATTGCAAATCTAGAACATGGCAAAAGTATGATGCTTAGTTTTAAAAATCAAAAAATCTGAAGCTTTATTCACTGCAAAAAATGCTTTTCTTACTTAAATTTTTTTGTCTTGTTTCTTGTCCAAATATCTAAAAACTCTTAAATCAAGCAGAATTTTCTAGACAAGCAAAACATACTGTCTTATTTTTAGATATAATATGCCAAAATTAAGTGAGTTTTTCCTTAAAACAAGTTAAATAATCTGGCAATGGGGTAAGCAAAATAATCTTATGTCAAAAGGAAAAAAAAGATTATTTTGCTTACCACATTGGCAGATTATTTTGCTTGGTTTAAGGAAAAACTCACTTAATATTAGCATGAAAACAAGACAATATGTTTTGCTTGCCTAGAAAATGCTTCTTGATATAAGAATTTTTAGATATTTGGACTAGAAACAAGACAAAAAATCTAAATAAGAAAAGCATTTTTTGCAGTTTTCGATATATACCAGGGTTTCTGAGAGGCTTAAAAGGTCTTACATCCTATTCACAATAAATGAGGCAGTTTTATGCATTTGCAACAACATTATAATTTAATATCGAGGCTAGATCCTATCTTACTTCCCCTCACAAGAAAGTACTCAGTAAGCCAGGGTGGAAAAAGTGTTTCAGCATATCATAAAAAAGCAAAGGAAGCATTTATAGGCATGCATGGAATATAGCTTGTCCAAGGGCTACTCTTTGAAAGTTGACGAATGCCAAGTATAAATATGCAGTTCACCATTTAGTAAACATGAACATGTGATGAGAGCTTGTTTAGTAAAAATGTACTTTGTAATAATGTGAATCCTTTCTGGAAGGACGTAAGATCAGAGTGTCTCTGATGATAGGAATATAGCAAAGTTTTAGAGACAGCATTATTTTACTTTGTCTTTTGTTTTTTTATGTAAGAGTGACCTGGGGGAAGTGAAAGTAGTCTCTAGTACGGCTGCAGGTAGCATTACTACATAAGATGTTCAACAGTCAATAATTCAGCTTAAGGAAGGGAGAACTGAGGCTTCAAATCTAATTTCTGTTTAAAATGAAGACTTTTGCTTCTTCATATGATACACATGTTGTTGCCAGAGTCTATGTTGTCAATTACTTTTTGACCTGTTATTAAAGTAAAAAAAAAAGAAAAAAGATGTATTTGTTTGCTGTTTTTAATGTATATTATCTGGTTTGGGTTCTATTGTGTGGGTTTGTTTGATTTTTGCTAGTGGATCCTGTGGCAGAAAATAAAAGCTGAAAGAATACAAAAAAAATGTCCATCTGAGTTATGGTATAAATACAAGTTTTCATTTTCTTGTGGCTTTGTCCCTTTATTAATCAGGGGCCACCACAGCGGAATTAACTACTTATCCAGCATATGTTTTTACACAGCGGATGCCCTTCCAGCTGAAACCCATCACTGGAAAACACCCATCCAATTTCATTCTCACACATACACAATGGACAATTTAGCTTACTTAATTCACCTATACCACATGTCTTTTCACCCATGCAAACACTGGGAGAGCATGCAAACTGCACACTAAAATGCAAACTGACCCAGCCGAGGCTCAAACCAGCGATCTTCTTGCTGTGAGGCAATTGTGCTACCCACTGCTAACACTGCTCACTTTCTAGTTCATTAGCAAATATTTGTTCTTGTTTTAATAATTAACTCAATTCATTTTGATCACCTTCTCATAAGACTTCTTATCTCATGTAGTTTTGCTTTCCTGATTAAGCGCATATTTATTTAGGAATCTCAAAAGGAGAAACATTCCTTTTTTACAGTGTGATGATAAAAGTTATTATCAAATTCTTGTGTTTTGTAACATTCATTCATTCATTTTCATTTTGGCTTAGTCCCTTTTAGGGGTGGAAACTGGAGCACCCGGAGGAAACCCACGCGTAAGCAGGGAGAACATGCAAACTCCTTTCAGAAACACCAACTGACCCAGCTGAGGCTTGAACCAGCAACCTTTTTGCTGTGAGGCGACAGCACTACAGTGCGCCACAGCGTTGCCACTTGGGCAATATTTTAAAGGAATTTAAGTTTAAAGCAGCCAGGGCTAATCATTTGGACTCCATTTGGACACTGGGAAAGTTTGGGAACATATTTAATAATAATATTGCTATATATATATTTATTTTATTTTAATAAAATGAATTTAAAAACAGCTCAGATTATAAGTATAATTTTTCTAAACACATTTTTCAAACAAATCCTTTTTTTTTTTACATGGAACCAATAGGTTCTTTAAAACCAGCAATCAAAGATATAAATTGCTCATTAACGTCTAAAATCTAAGACCATGGTTTGATTTTAAGGTTTCAGGAACATAACAAAAAATGTCCACATTTCTTTTTCCTGAAACTTAAATAAAAATGTTGGTTCTAATTTATTCACCCACATTCCAACCTGTATGACTGACATAACTAGATACTATCTCCAATGATTTCAATAATCTTCTTTATGAAGAAAGAAATTGAGTAAATAGTATATGTATACGCTATTAATTAAAGTCTAGTTTAAATAATCAATGTTTTTTTTATGTGTTTACAAATAAAGAAGATGAAAACAAATCAGACTTCTACTATGTGTGCTGGACTTCTAATTAACTTCCCTGACTGTAACTCACATTAAGTGCAACATCAGCATCAAACGATAAAGAACTACCTTATTCTCTCTATATTTAGATACATTTGAAAGAAAATATTGAGTTTGCATGTTCTCCCTGTGTTCGTGTGGGTTTCCTCCAGTTGCTCAGGTTTCCCCCACAGTCCAAAGACATTTGGTACAGGTGAATTGGGTAGGGTAAATTGTCAGTAGTGTGCATGTTTGTGTGGATGTTTCCCAGAGATGGGTTGTGGCTGGAAGGGCATGCGCTGCGTAAACCTTGCTGGATAAGTTGGCGGTTCATTCCGCTGTGGTGACCCCGAATTAATAAAGGGACTAAGTCGATAAGAAAATGACTGAATGGATGAAAGAAAATATCTGTCACTTGTTATGACTTTAAAGAATGATGAATTTTTCTCCCATTGAACTAAATTTGAGTTTTAATCTGTTACTCATATTGTGATGCATAGATGAATAATATGTCAAATTATTACTCACAAAGAACATATAACATTGTTATGTTGAATGTAAATGTTAAAATTTACCATACACTCACAGATTATTAGTTTATACAGAGGTTTTGAATATTACTGCAATAAATGTTCCCACTATCTCATTATATTTAAATTGTGGCTTCATGGCCCTTATGAGTCGATTCCAGGGAGTCGGCAGTGCATTGAGTTTGTTGACTCTATATTAGCCTACAGTCTCTCAGGGCCACAGAATTAAAGGTCTAGACCAACGAAGAACATTTAGTCTCACAGCCACGGAATGCTACACTGGTTTTATATTGAAGACTGCCACACAGTCACACATTTGAGATAATAATTACAGAACTGAATCACCACATTTTTTCTACTTTATTTTTCTCACCAAAGTTTTACTTGTGCAGCTATTTTGAGTGAACAAAATGTAAGCTTTGTTCTTGGATTTCTAATTGTCTGATAAAAAAATAACGCTTTGAAATACACTGAAAAAAGTGGTTTATTGCAAATTGTTGCAAACTATTTTTATAAGCTGATTTTCAAACAAACAAAATAAGTTGAACATTACTACATTTGTTTGTTTAAATTCAACCCCTTACCTTAATGGTAGTGTAAAATAGTAGCATGAGCAGTTTCCATTGAAACCAATGCAAATCCAATGCAGTATAATGTTTCTATATACTGCAAAGTAGACTTGCTACTATAATAAAACTATTTGTATACATTCATTAATTTTCTTTTCAGCTTAGTCCCTCCATCAATCCAAGGTCACCACAGCAGAATGAACCGCCAACTTATCCAGCATATGTTTTACATAGCGGATGCCTTTCCAGCTGCAACCCATCACTGGGAAACATGTCTTTGGAGTTGTGGGGGAAAACGAAGCTCCCGGAGGTAACCCATGTGAACATGGGGAGAACATGCAAACTTCAAACAAAATGCCAACTGACCCAGCCGAGACTCGAACCAGCAACCTTCTTGCTTTGAGGCGAGATTGCTACCCTGTGCCACTGGGTTGCCCGCTAGTATTATAAAAAAAAAATAAAAATACATTATTCAGTGTTACTACAGACTACCAGTTAAGTATTTAATAATTTTTTTAAAAGTTTCTACAGTTTAAAAGATTTCCGACACCCTACATCTTTAATTAGGGTATTAAACATAAATGTACAATGTTCACAATTTTTTTCAGTTCAGCTATCTAGTCAATTGTTATGATGTGACCCTGTTGTTTCACAAAATGTTTATAAAAGTTTTTTTTTTTTTTTTACTTTAGACAGCTAAATGTAACTTACAATGCATATATAAGGTAGTTACAATGAAGGATACTTAGGCAGTAGCCATACATATATGACATGTTGCCTCACCCATTATTATTAACTGATTTAATAACGCTTTAAAAATAATCATTTTTCTTGACGAGGAAAATGTGAACAAGAAGTTTTGAACATGAAAGTTACTTAATCAAAAAAACAAACAAACGTCTAAAAATGATGAAGTGAAATAATACACGTAAACACCAGAAGGCGCAGTTTTGCTTAGCACAGCGAGGTTTGTGAAATCTCGCGGGGTTTGCCTAGTCCCGCTGTATCTTTAACTCTCGCGGTATTTCCTCACTTCCTCCTCTTTTACTCCCTGTGTTCAACATGGCAGTCG